ACCAACATGAATTTGACCCAACTCCAGGAGGCAGTGGAAGATAGGAGGGCCTGGTGTGCTCTGGTCTATGGGGTCACAAAGAGTCAAACAGGACTAAACAACTAAACAACAAAAGGTAAATTACATGAACTACAGTGGCAGATTGCTGCTAATTAATGAGTTGCCACTCACTTTCTTAATGACATGTTGATCACACAATTTGGTGCATGGCCAAGGAGGTGAATGGCAACTTGTTAATTAGCAGCAGTTCACTGCTGGTGCTTGTTACCAAATTGATGAAGTTTGTACAACATTCCTAGAGGTTCTCAATCTTTCTAAGAAATATATGTATGTAGCCTAGTCTGTTGTAACTGAAAAATATGTCTGGCCAAGGACAAGGATATGTTAAAAACAGTGGCTGTAACAAAATAGTCTCTGGTCTTAAGTGAGCCAAACCCCCAAGAGGAAATTACAGGAATATAGCTCCAAATGACACTTATCAAAATTGCTTAGAAGACTTGAATACCCCAGCCAAAATGTCATCTCACAGGATAGCTCTCATATAGAGAGACCATGTGTATCAGATCATCTTCTTTTGTTTTTCTGCTACCAGGATTGTCTGGAGGTCTGTGAATACAAATAGACTAGAATGGTCTGCATTTTTATAAGCAGAATCGGGCCATTTCCTTCTACCTGTATATGAAGTGGCCCACATTATTCCATTGTCCCTGGACCATCAGATTGGATTACCAGATGGGTAACATTCCATAAACCATTTTTTAGAAGAGGAGATACAGCAGATTAAGTGGACACATGGCTAACAACAGGCCAGATCACTTTAGTTAGCCTGGCCAAAACCAAATAAACAGACACATGGTAGCCATAGCTGGAGTTTGGGGGAGGCCAGGCTGAACCTGCCTGCAATGTCTGTCCCTGAATCCTGCTCCTGCTGATCGTGCTGGCTGCAGTTTCCGTGCTCCCCGTCTCCAAGACAATCTGAGACTAAGGAGAAGTAATCCTTGTCACCACTAATCTATCTTTTTGGAGTATTTCCCCACCACATTGGTGACTCCTTATTCTACCCACACTTCCATATGTATCTGTATGTGAGTTAAGGAAAGATTCTTGCTTGCTTTCTTATTTTCATTCTTACAGCATCTCTGCAGATAGTCTCTTCAGGCACTGCAGATCTTTGCAGTACAACCTGAATCTCAGAACCCTCTCAGCCATGCAAGTGTGCTTTTAAGTCTATATTTCCCAATATACTTTATTGTTTAATCTTTATTGTTAAAATGTAATCATTGTGTATCTTTAATTTTGGTCGTTCAATAACATTGCCCTTATGTATAGCTCTGTGTGAGTGTGATACACTCAGCCCAATCTGTGTCAAGATGCACTGTTACTGTAGTTCAAAGATCCCTTACAGTATCCTGAACATGTGAAAATCCATGCATGTACCCTGAAGGGATACCTAGTAATAGGCTTCTGTAGTTACACTTATGCTGACATATATCCCCAATAGGATTCTGACCAATCTGTCATAATGTTTCTGCATAAAACTGAGTAAACTGTTAGACAAGTTAAATTTTCTCTTGAAGAAAGTGTATCTAGGATGGTGCGGAACCACAGCCCAAGAACAAAAGGTTCTGTATTTTTTCAATATAAGATCCCTAGCTCTCCTGGTCTTTACATTGACATTTTCAGCTAATGTTTTTGAGAAAGCTAGTGGGGAATATTGATTTGGCAACAATTGCCAGTGTTGGGTGAAGTTCGCAGAGTTTCTCAAGGATCTGCTTATATCTTTTTCCCATACAGTAATTGTTTCACTGCCTTTGGGTGTAATAACTTTGTATTAATTGAGGAGTTCTTCAGACAATACTCTTTGTACTTTTGTATGATTCTGGAGTACAAGATACACACACCAAACCTTCTTTCAAATGCATAGCAATGCAGTTGTGAACCCATCTTTCTTTAATGTGTACATAGCAATTGCATGTGTATATTAGAGTTGAGATGAAGAATATGTTAGCTTCCAGACATCATTGGTCCATGACTTTAATCATTGTTAGTTAAACTGGCCAATGGTGAGAGATTAAGATTAGCCAGTGGCAAAAGACTATGCGGGTTGCAGTCCACAACATCTAAGGGCCATACATTTCATGTCCATATGGTAAAAAAAGTACGTGTCTGTATACTGTATAAAAATAAAAACCTTCAAATACAGCCAGATACAATGACATGAGGAGCCATACTAGTCTATCGAATTGTTTAAAGCTGTATTTATCCCTAATACAACTGGAACTTTAGTGCTTTGAGGTAGCCTTAAATTTACAGATTTTGGTAAGTGTCAACACCTGTAACCTTTTGTGCGACCTGAAGCAAAACTTCTGTGAGAAAAAAAAAGGCTAAGTCCAGTTTTATGTTAGGTACTTCTTTCTGCATGAATGATCTGTGACTTCCTTCTCATTCCTTGAAAGGAAAATGCATTTTCCTGGAGTAATCGTCCATAAATCAAACTTCTGCCAGGCTATCAAGGGACAGCTTCTTTTCAGTAGTGTGTAGCTGCTGCTACTAATTGTATCTGAATTAGTGGCTGTTTCATGATTTGGAAGTGCCATGGATATACATCTAAATATAAATTTTGGCACTTCCACATAATGTATGCAAGTTGTGTATAAGTGCACACAGGATATTAGATTGGGAAAAATGTACTAGCCTTCTGGTGGTTTGCAGAAGTAGGATGGAGAACTGTGTATCTATGCTGGACACAGAAGAGGAAACTTTTCTCCTCTGATAACCGGTTCAGTTTCTGTGCTGGTGCAGATCAAGGATGAATCATTCCATCCCTCCTCTATAGCAGCCTGCTCCTGTATACAGGAAATTTGTGTTCTCCTGTGGTTCCTGGTCTACTGTTTAATGTTGATTAATACAGCATCAGAAGCAATTACCTTTATTTTGTATTATTTTTTCCTCTTTAGATTCTTAATTGGAAAATTAAGAATCCTTTTCATAGAACTGCTCCAGCTGTTCAGTTAAGAGCTGCTCATAGCTGCTTGTAACAGTTTATAAGTGTTTTGGGAGTGAAGACATGAGCTTTCTCATTTTTGTTGCCATTCATAAAATGATTCATTAATAATAGTAAGAACTAGCTGTTCCTTCCAGTTTCATTGTACGACTGTTTCAATAAGATTGTGGCTTCAAAGGCTTTAAATTTGCACTGTAAAATATTTTGAATGAACAGCACTTTCAAAAATAATCTTTGGCTGGAGAAATGAAATCTCATTTCGTTTTAAAAACATTCTAGGGAAATGATGATTCATATAATTTGATATATGCAATGCACATCTCTTCAATAAAATTAAGACCAGCAAATACACATAAAATGTAATAGGTTAAAAACCCCGAAGTGATACATTTCAGTGTGAAACATCAGATTTAGCTACTTAAAATTAGATGAATTATTAGATACAGTGGTGCCTCGGTTCCAAAAAATTCATCGCTATGGGAAAACATCGCTAAGCGAAACACAGTTTCCCATAGAAATGCATTGAAAACCGGATAATCCATTCCAATGGGAACGGATTGCCGTCCTTAAGTGAAAATCGCCATAGGAAACATCTCTAAGTGAAACGGGGTTCCCCAATTGAAATGTATTGAAATCTATTCAGTGCACCTCAATGGGGGGGGGAAATTACAACAAATTTAAAAAGAGAACAAACTCAAATTAGTTTAACAAAGGGTTTATTAAGTGCACATGATTTCAAGCATTTTAAACATTTTTAAACGTATAAAAAACAGCCAACATGAGGCTGTCAAAACCATCGTTAAGCGAAACAGGGGGACCCAAACTGTCATCGCTATGCGAGCATGGTCCCAAACATTGCTATGCGGAAATCACCCATAGAGAACATCGTTAAACGGAGCGCAAGATCACTCCGAAAAAGCCATCGCTAAGCGAATTCGTCATTAAACAAAGTGCTCGTTAAGCAAGGCACCACTGTATATAACAAGAGGGATGTAATAATTCAATTTGAACCACCTACTTTTTTAATCCCCTAGTGATTATCACTGATATTTTAGGTCAAAACATTTCACTTTCATTATGCATGCGCTGGTCATGATTTTATTGTTGAGTGATGCTTCAGTTTATTCAGTAAGAATTATTTCCAACTTTGTGTTTGTGTGACAAGTACATTTTATATTAAACATCTGCAGCATATTCCTTTTTACCTGTTGCTTATATCCAAAATGGCGACATCATTTTTGTTTTTTGAGAAAGCCTGAACAATTAATATTCTAGGTTTAGCAACATTGTTGTTTTTCAATTAAACTCATCTGTGTAGATGGCATGCATAGAGATAAACTTCAGATAACTTCTGAGGGGTAGTGTTCTGTTTGGTATTTATGTGCACAGAACTCCCAACTGTGGAAGATGCTGTGGTAGTCTCACATAGTACTAGTCATGCACAACCAGAACCTTGTTAGATTGCCACAATATCTTCTGTAGCTCTGCAAACACATATAATACAGAACAGGCTACTGGCCACTGTGTCTAAACTTTGCAGGGGGAACCAGTAGAAAATATAAATACATGTATGTTTCTGGTGTTAGCATCTGTTCAACCCATTTTTCAATTCATGTTTTCTAGTAGTATTGAACATTTAGCAGCACTTTATAGTAAGGGCAGTAAAGAGGTTTCACCTATTGAACTGAATAGTTTACAAATTCCATTTTGAAGGGGAAATTTGGCACACTATATCTTTCTCTGAACCGTACAATGGCTGAAATGTCATTGCTTAGCACATTAAGTGGCACTAGAGTGAGCCCACTGAATCAGTAGGGATTTGGTGAGTCAACTCCTCCATATGTCTTATTGATTTAAATGGGCCAAATTAAATGTGCCAACTATAGCATAGTAAGTTGTAACCAGAATGGAATCAATGGAACATATGGAGGAGTTGCCTCACCAGATCCCCACTGATTTAATGGGTTTGCTCTAGTGCAACTTACTGTGCTAAGCAACAGCAGTTAAGTTGGCAGATTTATTGACTTTTTGAAACATTCTGAATATAATTAGCAAATATTTTAAACCAGCACTTTTCGACTTGACTTACAATTGACTTGTGGAAAACTAAAGTAAAAAGCAAAAGTGGGGAAACAACTAAAGCTGCAAACATAGTTGATGAACTGTAGGATTAATCTAATCGTGTTTGTTTCAGGTCTCCCTATTCCTAGAGATAAGAGTGCTGGACTAGATAGACTAGGTCCAGTAAGGAAATTCTTTAATGATGCTGTAACGGTTGCTGTCAGAATACGCATCCTGCACCAGATTGGACAGGTGTCTTGTGTGGCTGTAAAAAGAGCCAATAATCCAGGAATGTTATGGCTGCAAGTTAAAAAAAAAAAACCCAAAAACTAAAGTTTTGCATATTGTATTCAAGCTTCATTGTTACTAACACTCTCGTTCTTTTGTTGCAGAAATTGGAATGGGGCTTACAGGTTTTGGAGTGTTTTTCCTCTTCTTTGGAATGATCCTATTTTTCGACAAAGCACTTTTGGCTATTGGAAATGTAAGTGATTTTGTGCAAGTAGCATTTGCATAGAGTATCATCTGAACATGCTTCCCTCTAAATATTCCGCCATTAGGAGGCAGGATGAACGAGTCTGCCTGCTCAGCTGCTGAGTGGTCAGCAGCGCAGGGAGGCAGGGAAGCACCAGCTGGGCTACTTCCACAATTGGCATGGTGCGAACAACAGCCATGTACACGCTGCGCCGCAAGCACTAAGTGAGCTGGCCAGTTCTGAGGGGTGGGTCCAAAGGCCCCAGCCACCTGCGGTGGCAATATTCATATTCGTCTCCCCTAGGAGACGAATATGAATATCTCATCTCTAGTAACTACTGTCTGGACAAAGGTCTTTAAGCACCAATAAGATCTGCTCAATGTGGTATTTGTCCAGTCTCCTTCCTAGCTCTTTCAGCTTGCCTAATGTAACTAAGATGTTCCAACAATACATCTTAGTTGCATTACACACATACACACAGCCTGCCTTCCTGTCTCATATTGATAGAAAGTAATATAGTGGTTGAGAATGAGGGCTTCTAACTGATATGGTGCTTGGCAGGAGTGGTCATATTGACCAGTTAGGCGGTGTGTGTGTATGTATCAATCAATCAATCAATCAATCAATCAATCAATCAATAAATAAATGAGGGAAATTAATAATTCCACTTAGGCACAAGAGATCAACATTTAAGATCAGATGTGAAGAAATCCCATAAAGGGTGGTTAATCTATTGATGCAGGGCAATGGATAATAGAAAACACAGGTAGTAGACCAGTACAGATTTTGCAGATACATTTATTAAAGCTACTTGTACACTTTTGTGACCCTTTTTTTTAAACTCTTAATACTAAATTTCAGCTTTGATTGTCTGGAAACTAAGTTGTAACCCATTAGCAGTAAGCACTCTTGCATCCCATTAGATTTCATTAGAAGAAATACAAATCTGTAGCCTAAGTGTCTTACAGAGATCCGTGAGATTTTAAAGTGTTTAACTGTAGTTTAGCTATGCCTTCTTTATGTAAAAAAATAAAATAACTTAAACAGCTTTTTTTGTTGCTCATAGGATGAGGAGGGTCATATTTGTGAGTCAGTTCCGGAAGTGATATGGCAATAATTTTGATTTCATCAAAATGAAATTAGCCATGGCCATATATAAGACCAATGAATCCTCTTTCCAGACACATAATACTTTGTTTTTTATTCGTGTTAACACATTTCAGCCTCATTCTTGCAAGTTTGCAGTGATGTCGTATTAGACTAAGCTGGAAAGGCTTCATAATGTCCGGATAGATCAGTTTTCTTCTCTGGCCTATTAAAAACTTCTTCAGTAAACCAAGCATACACTATTCATGACAAATAGTGCTGATGTCAATCCCATTTATTCTAAGTGCTTAGAAACTTGTTAATTTGCCCTAGCAAAGTCTGGTTTTGTATTGTACCAACACCAGGGAAACAATCTTTTAACACATCCATGTTTCTTTCTGTAGCATCATAATGTCACAGAAGCTTCAAGGAACAGACTTTGATTTTGTGTAATGCCTTGCATTTATTCTGCAATTTTTAAATCTTTCTCGGCTTGTACTCAGATTTCATTTCTCTGATTGCATCGTTTTATTCTTGTTTCTTCTAGGTTTTATTTGTGGCTGGTCTGGCATTTGTGATTGGTTTGGAAAGAACATTCAGATTCTTCTTTCAGAAACATAAAATGAAAGCAACTGGCTTCTTTCTGGGTGGTGTACTTATAGTTCTTATTGGTTGGCCCTTGATAGGAATGGTCCTTGAAATTTATGGCTTCTTCCTTTTATTCAGGTAAGACTGCTTTTGCTTTGAGCAATAATCTTTTCAATTGGCAGCCAATAAAAAAATTACAGTTTAATGCAGAAAGGTTTTGTAAGCATAGCCTAGACATTTCTCCCATTACGTTGTGGTTGGCATTTAAAACTCCATTGTGGGGGAGACCATGATGTGAATACGTATTTACACTGGTGTCACTCATGGTTGCATAACTCGGTGTGTAACAGCAAGTAGCTATGTACACTTCTTTTAGCAGGTCACTGCTGATATTTAAGTCAACTGCATTGTACCAGTGGCATAACAAATAGGATTTTGGCCAATATAAATGTGCAATTAATAAATACATGTAGAAAGTGGAGAAGATTATTACAATGGTAAAGTATCACACATCCTTAAGTCTAAACTCATGCAGGTGGGAAGAGCCCAGAGTTTGAGAGAGAGTAGAGAGACAGGAAGAATCAAGAGAAAGGGGAGAGAGAGCCAAAACAGAGAACCAAGTGGGAATTGAGGGAGGCGCAGTGGGATGAAGCCTTTACAAGCTAGCAGTTTAAACTCCCAAAAACCATGCTCAGGCTCTCCTGCATGGCAGCAGTACGAGATAGATAATGATGTGGCAAAATGAGGCCCTGGGCACTGCCAGTATAGTATGCTGAACAGCTAACTCTCAAGGGGATGCAGCTCTCCACAGAGAAAGGATACCTTGCTCTACGCCTTGAGCAAAAGTCAGCTTGGACCCAGAATGTATTTATTTTCACACCAAAATTGCAAGCATATACATACTTATGAGGAGTGGAAAGAAAGAAATACACATAAATGTTTCAAAGTAGGATACAACAGTGATAAAAGGCATACAATAAATCATAACGTATGTAACAAATGTTATGCACTAACAGCATGCACTAAGTGACCTTTCCATGGTACGTTGAATCAGACTGATAAAAATTGCAAACAGGGATGTGTTCTCAACATGTGCTTTTAAAAAAAGCACCAAGAATTGTTATATGGGGAGAAGAGGAGGCCAAGTAAGAGGCCGTGATTGTGTTAACTGCCCTGCTCGAACAACTGCGCAGGGATTAGGCTGACGGATGTGTCATTTAGATTTTCTGCTTCAGAGGATGAAATAACTTGAGCCAGCTCTTCCCATCTATTTATACTATGGCCCTTTCATCTCTTCTTCCTTTTGTTGATGTGATGTCTTCAAATATGAAACAGTAAATTTATCTTAAAGTAAAAGAGGAATTTCAGTCTTAATTTGTCATCTTACATATTCCCTCTAGCATGTTTAGATAGCAGGACCTATTTTTAGAAGTGGACAACAATTCATAATTTAGGTCATCAACATTTTCCTGATAATTCATAATTAGTTAAATTATAATTGTTTTAGCAACAGATTATTACAGCTAGTACCCATTTCTCATGTTAGTGAGATATCTTCTAACTCTGAAGTTATATGTCCTATTTTTGAGACTTTTAAACTTAGTATGCATGTACATTTCAGGCTTCTCTCCTATAGTATGAGGGCTGGCGATTGTACATATGTGTATATGTTTAAATGAAAGCCAGGTCCAAATTCTAAAAAGTGTAGTCTGTGCATAAGTATATTGGAAGCTTTCTGCAGTCTGTTTAGTTCTCCTCCTGATTATATAAATGATATGTCAATGCACGATGTTTTCTACAAGTGCTTGTTTTAAAAATCAGTATCAGTATTCTGTGTAACCACTTAAAACATTCATCAGAAAATAAAAAAACTGGATTATCTTGTGGTGTGGTTTCTATTCTGTAACACAGTAGTATATTTCTGTGCAGTGTTTGTTTCCGTATAAATTGCAGGACAGGAAGTGTAATATTGCCTTATTTTATTAGTACTGACCATGTGTCAAATAAGTGACTACTTTATTTACTTATTATCCACTGATGGAAAAGGCTTCAGGAGTTAACCTAGAGGCAAAATCCAGAGCTGGAGTCCCGAAGGCAGCTTGTGTCTTTCTGCCAACTCCTGCGACGTTGCCGGAACCAGTTGTATTGGCCCTTGCCTTTCCATTGGACCATTTCAGCAATGTGGAGAGGGGGGATCTGGTGCTTGGGTAACAGCCTATCCTCCATATTACTTTACCCAGGCTTCATGCTCTGGAGAGGACACTCCTCGATTCAGAGCATGTTACCATACTCTCGAGAATGAAGGATGCCTATTGAATGGCAGTGTGCAATAGGATGCCCTCTTGATCCTTTGGAGTACAGTTCCCACGATCTCCTCCTGTTGACTGAGCAGGCTTGCAGCTTATGGAAGTAGTAGTGCAAAAAAAGGGGGGGCTGGAGGGCACCAAGTTGCCTACTCTCATCTTTAGAGCCTTCTACATGACTGTTGTTTACATCGCTGTATTTCGTGCATGTCATCTCGGGAACCACAGCCAGTCGTGGCTTCTTCAAAGGAGCAGCTGCTGAAGAATTAAAAGCCTGCTGCCTACTCTTAGCTTTCATACTTGTGGCTTTTTCCTTTAAAACAGTGTCTAGTTCTGCAAAGGAAATGATAACATTTTAATTGGCCTGAGGTATGTAACAATTTAGATGAGCTTATTGCTCTCCTTCTGAAACTAGGAGAAGGCATATGCTGTATGAGATATTGTTGGTAGAAAATATAGCAATTTTGGTGATAATGCTGACTTAGTCATAACCAGGTAGCCAAGGTAACAAATTCTTCCTAACCTGCGCCATTTTCTTTCTTTCAAGGGGCTTTTTCCCTGTGGTGATCGGTTTTATCAGAAGAGTGCCTGTTCTTGGATATCTCTTGAATTTACCGGGCATAAGCTCAGTAAGTACTAAACTGTTCCCTTCAAGCTCTAAAATATTGTTTTACTTCTGTTTCCTTAATTCCAAGGCCTGGTGACAGTTGCCTTTAAGTTCTGGCATTTTTAGTCCTTTTTGCAGTCCTACTGCATCTATGAACTTTAGGAAGACAAATGAAACACAGGTGGCACAAACAGTTGGGAGAGGAATCTTAATTTTTTGAGTCTACAGTCAAATATTCTAACTACTGCCCTGAAAAATGATTTTGTCAGAGCTCAAAACTGTCACAGCTGTCTAAAGATTCTGGGCTAATGGATGGTGTGTTTTGTCAAATTGTATACAGTTCAGATGTATTCAAAATACAGTATGCCTATAGTTCCTTGCTCTAGTCTACATTGCTAGGTGGGTAAAAATAAAATTGGGATTCTAAATTGTGCTGAGAGAAACAGAAAGACGCATAGCTGTGCCTGTATGTGGCATAAAAATTCTGAGGGAACAGCATACTAATACAGTTTTGTCAGTTGGATCACGGCATAGATTTCCTTTCTCTTCTGCATATTCTACCAGCATCATTACTTTTTGAGAATCCTCAAGGAGAGAACAGTGGCCTATAATTAAAACAAACAAATACAGTCATTTATTCAGACTTCACATTTGATAGTCTTTGTGTAGTTGTGCAAGTGTCTTTTGATTACCTTGCAGCTGCTTCAGAAGCTGGAGCGTCAAGCTTGTATCAGGTTCAATAATAGTAATTCTATGTTTCTAACATGCAAATTTTAATTATCCGTTATCATGTAACATGTAAAAGATCCATCTGGCATTAATACAGATCACATCTTTCCATTCAAAAGCTTTGCTAGTTGCAATATCTCCAAAATGGGGCTGATTGTATAAGACAGTTGCCACTTCTGCTCACCTTCCCTGGACGCCTGCTTCCCTGGAGGAGTTTGGGTTATGTTTATGGGCCACCATGCACACAGAACGATGGAGAAGATGCACTCTGTAGTAAATTTTCATTTTTATAATGGCCATGAGTGCTATGATAAGCATATAGATGTTCTTTTGAAAGAGCAGTGAATAAATAGTTCTGTAGTGAGTGACAGGATGTTTGAAAATCCATGGGCTGCACCAAGGATCACGGGTTGCCCATGTCATTTTAAAGCATACACTTTTTTTGAAAATAGCCTCTGCATGTAAACAAACATGGTGTCCTCCTTGTGGGTGCTGTCTTATTTGTTTGTGCCTGTGATGGCTAATTTTTTGCATCATGCATGCTTGAACACATGTTGTCATAAACAGCTGGAGCTAGGTCATGGGCAGCTGAGCTGCAATATAATTAATAACATTAAACATTACCTATACAGGATTGCACTGTGATAATGGACTGCTTTGGCCACAATGCCCTTAGGAAAGGGGCTGGCCAGTTCTGTTCTAGCCACATGATGCTCTTTGTCTGCTTAATCGTATGCTAGACCGCACCTTTGTGCATCTAGCTATGCTGGTCCAGTGGTTGCTACCTCTGCCCCGAAATGTAGTCAATACATCAAATTGTCATATTGTTTCAAAGGCCTAGTTAAGATAGATACATAGGCAGATTTTTCTTCTCATGTTAAATCTATGTTAACGTTGTTACTGAAGTACTTGGGTATCTGGCTGGGCATCTTTCTAAGCCCTGATCTGTACCCACATCATTTATAATTTGGTCTTTTTGAAGTTAGGTCCTACCTGAAAAGTAATTGTTGATGTTTTCTTCAAAGCCTGCGTAGGCTCAGGAGACAGTCCCAGTAATGGTTAGTTGAAAATATCATCTTCAGTCTATCAATGCATGAATAGCTAATTTTTTTCCCCAATATTCTTTTTCTTTTGGGCTTTTTTTTTTGAGCTAACAATATTTATACTTCCATTTCTCTGGTTCTTTTCTTTTCTCCATTGTGTTGCATCTTCTCGTTGCTCTGTGTCAACATAGAAACATGCTGTGCCTAAACACAATTGCCATGCCAATTGCATTGTCTTGTATAAACCACATAAACCTTAGTGAGTACTACTGGAATATGGTAACAGCTCAAATGCCTACTTAAAAGATCAGCAGTGTATATGTATTCTTAAGCTGCATGCTAGTGTGCTTGAATCTTAAAATTGCAATTTCCTTTGTCTCCCACTTTTCCTCTCTCTTTCCCCCCCCCTGGCAGCTTGTAGACAAAGCTGGAGAAAGCAACAACATGGTATAATGACAAGAGTGCTGAAGACTGGTTCTAAACTCACATTATTTATAAGCTGTCCTTGAAGAAAAGATCAGCACAAAGATTATGTTGTATACAAAGGCAAAGTTTGTAATGGTCTTGATGTAAGTTTTTAATTTACACCATAGTCTACCAAAAAAAAAAAATCTTTAGCAAAGAAAAATGGAACCACTGTGCACCAAGACTTGCAGCTTCAGGAATTCTGTCAACTAAACTGAAGAAAAACTCAAGCGGAAGACCATGGTATTAAACTGTTCAAGACTGCTGAATACTTTCGGAGTTTGAGCTAAATGGAGCAGCCACACCCGTGGAACTAACAGTGCCTGTAACTTTTACCTCCTCCTTCTGAAGGTATAACAGAGCAAACAACGGTCTGTTTTTAAGACAAGACCCTGCCTACCCTGCCAAACCTCCTGTTTCCTCTCCTGCCATGGAAGAAATCTCCCCATCTTTTCTTCCATTGAAAGCAAGAAGTTCCCATAAAGGTGAGGTGCATGGTGTTTAAGATGGATTTTCATCTTCAACTGTACTCATTAGCAGAGGATTTCACTACAAAGTTCTGCTGTATTCAACTCTTTGTAAATATATGGCTGAAATAAAACTTAGTAGCAAATTATTTAAAGCCAGATGTAAATTCTAATTAGGTATGTGTTTACCCTTGGAATATGCAAAAAGACTTTTTTTTAAAAAAAAACTTCAGTCTTAAACCACTCCTGGTTTTGATATCAGTTTGTTTGTCAGGGGTTATGGCGAACAACTTTTACACTCCTTGGCTATCTGGCCAGATCCATGTTACATGCATTTGCAAAGGGGATGTAGCTTTTTCCATTGAATAAACTTTGTATACGTCATGTGTAGCTCCTGAAATGATTTGCTGTGATCCACGTTGATTACACAGTTTATAAAATATGACTTGCCCAGCTAGCCAACCTTTTGGAGAGAGAAAAACATGCCCATCCTGAATATTATTTGGTGCTTCCATCGTCTGCAGCTGACGCTATGTCCCTGCAGCATGTAACACCATGTTTTCTGTACTGACAGTACACCCAATATACCATATAGACATTAGGATTTGGGCATTAAGTTTAACCATCCAGTTCTGGTTTGCAGACAGCATGCTACAGAGCTAACCTATTGTGTAAATAACATTTTTTCTAACAATGAGATGAAAAGATATGAAGTTATTTGTGTAGTGGAAAATCTTGGGAGACGGTATTTAAGTATCCTTGATCAAGTGTTACATCTAAAGACACATATATTCATGTAGGTCAGTTTCTCATCCTGATGTTTAGCTGATGACAAGTCTGAGAGCTAGTCTGAGTATTCCAGTGAATCAGGAAGAGAGGGAGTGTGAGTGACTTGAGGACAGGCAGACTTTGCAATTCCTCCCTGAAGCCCTGATTCAAAGATGTAGAAGTATAGGAACATTTCCTCTACACCCCTTCTACTAGCCTTCTGATGTAGCTCTTGGGGACGTGTCTAGTTTAAATTGGTCTTTGGCAAAGTTCCACATTCATTCAAGACTTACTGTTTGCTTGTTCCCAAAGGCCTACCATAAGTGCCTGTCGAGAGAGCTGGATGAAGACTTACCATCAGACTTTGTATGGGCATGTTTCATTTATGCTATATGATTTCTGAACACTAGTATAAGCCACTTGTGTCTGCAAATGCTTAAAACAAGGGGCCATATAAAAAGAAATCAGAATAATGGGCAAAACCCTGTAGGTTCTATTCTGCTGATATAAACTGGATTGGGGTCCTAGAAGTAACTAATTTAAATTAATGTAAAGCTTCCTGCCCCCTGTTTCTGCTTCTGAGGCTCCTCCGGACTCCCTTTTGCCCTGGAGAAACCTTTGGGAGCTGCAGGACTGGGTTGGGTGGGTGAACTTTCAATAGTAAAAGAAATGCTGCTGGGTTGCCACTGCTAGGATCAGGATGTCTGCTAGTGATCAGGCAGCAGTATTTAATCTTTAAAAGCCCCACCTGCATCCCAAGTCTCCCAGAGCAAAAGGGAGCCCTAGGGAGCTTCAGAACCTGAAACAAGGTGATCACACTGTAATTAATTGCCTTCTTTGAACCTGAAATGAAAATAGGAACTTGAAATTAGGATAGGAAGTCTTGTTTCTGGCATCCTAATCCAGTTTATGCCAATGGAGCTCCACCAACGGGATTTTGCTGATTATGTGATTTTATTAACTTTTTTTCTCCAGTTGAAACAAGCTAGCTGTAAATCTCTGAAAATCATTTTGAGTTCATGCTTTCAATTGCATGAACAGCCGAAGAGCCCCATTTCTTTGCTTCTCTCTTGAAAGGAAAGCACCTCTTAAGGAACTAAACAGATTCTTCTCAAGAAGAGGTCTAAAATAAGTTATGTTCAGATTTGAAGCCATGTGTGTACCTCATCCTGTTCTCACTGTGATACACTTTGCTGTCTAAGATCTTTTTTAAAAGAGATGATAGAAACAATCCTTTAAAAAATGAATCTAATCAACTTGAGTGGGAAATGCTGGTGAAATAAGCTCTGGATGTCTCATCTATGTTTAATAACTCCCTCATGAAGTTTTAGTTACAAAAGAAGGCTTTTGTGAATTATTCCCATATTTGGAATCAATGAATTCATGTTAGAACCTCCAGGAGAGATGCTTATGGTTTGGAAACTTCATTTCTATAGCTGCAACAGCCAATGGGGTGTCCTCTGTAGAGATAGGAATGGACTGCTGGTATTCTGCAGTTCGGCACCCCGCCCTATCCTGTGGGTACCCACTCAGAGGCCGTGCTTGGAGGAGACAGGTCAGAGAAGCTGGGACGCTGCCTCTGAACGGGCACCCAATGGAAGGGGCCCAACACCTGTTAGATTGTCGGCCAAACCAAGGCTTTGGGTCCATCTCTACTCCTCAGTATTCTCCTTAAGAGGTGATTGGGTGTGTGCTGGTTGCATGGGTCCTTCCTTTCCCCTCACCATGAAGAGAAGGAACTGAGTGAACTGGAGGGATGGATCAAAGTCCTGGATTCTGCAACCTATTACCCAGTGATGGAGACTCTGTCTTCAGATAAATGCGGAATCCTCCCAATTCATCATAGTCTCCCTGTGTTGACGTGAACCAAGCTGGAATCTGCACCCAGTCACTTCCAGCTATGATCCAATGGAGAAGCATTGTCTGAATGCATGCTGAGGTTAATTGTACCCATGTGAATGCTCATGCCTCTGGTTTACTTACATATTGGATGGAGCTTCTCCATTAAACAGTAATGATGGTAGCACTGACCCCCTAGATAGCAAAGTCAATTTGCTTCTTAAATACAGTATTCAGAGAAGCAATCATGTTAGTCTGTCTAGGTCCGTTGCATTAAAGGGGGGGGGAGGGAGAGAAAGGCAAAATATTGTGGTACTGAAGACTAACATTAATTTCAGCATGAGCTTTCATGGATCAAAATCTTCAGACAAATGTTCAATTTTTTTCCAGTTTTCACCCATATCCGCAACCTGTACTTCAGAATGCTCACAAGATCTCATTAAAATTTCAAGACGCTGTGTCTGGCTTTGGCATCCATGAAAACTCACTGATACTGGTTAGTCTTTAAAGTACCACAATTTGCCTTTGCTCCTTAAACAGTCTGGTTCAGTAGGGAATCTGGCTGTTTGGTGAGAATTGCATTAATCTTCAAGCCCCATTTCATTTTTAAGAGAAGACACAGAAAAGGGTGATGGCCTCTAAGGTGATCAGAATATAAACGTCAGGTACAATCTTCTTTTTTTACTGGCTGTCCTGTCTAATAGAAAAGTATGCAGATAATTTCTGTCCTCCATAATTATTGTGAAGCTTTTAAGGAATAGTGCCTCTGCAACTGTCCTTTGGTGAAATGGAAATTTCCATAAAACTTGACCTCTGCTCTACCTAAATATGCTTTGTCTTGAGATTATTTGGAGTGTTTATCTCGAGGACAGTGAGATAAATTTTCTCAAAGCTTTGACCTGTAATTAGCAGCAGAGACAGGAATAAAGCCTTTGGTTTCCAAGGTACTTTACGATGGTAGATGCAGCTTAAAATTTTGCAGAATTGGTATTATGGTAGAAACCAGAATGAGTCTTTAGCCTTTAGACTGCTCTCTTATGCATATTTATTTTGGAGTACGTCACACTGAATTGGGTAGTGTTTACTTCCAAGGAAACTTCTATAAGATAGGACTGCAATCGACGGGGCTAATTTATTATTATTATTATTATTTTGCAAAACAGAAAAATGTATCTTCTATAACAAACTCAGATTTTCCCCATTTAAATGTAATTTTTAAATGCTTTGAGAATCACACAAAGGTCATGTCTTGGAGAGGAAAAAAAATCTGTATATATACTTGTCATACCTTGAATAAATGGATACTTTTTCTATTAACTTTGTTTTGATATCAGATGATTTGGTAACTCATGTGGTGTTCTGTAAAATGCAACATAGTGGGAGAATAGTTATGTTCCTGTGCCCCCTCTGATGTATGAAGGAACATCATAACCCACTAGGTCAGCTGGATTGAGTGTTTTCATACTACTTCATACCACAGGAGAAAGTGGTCCATGTTGCAGCTCACTTCTGTGCCTGCAAGAGGGCCCTCTGAGATCAGAACTGCACATGTTGTGGGTCAAATGGAATGTTACTTTGAAGATGCAGCCACTGTTACATCTTTCTTTTTCTTCCCCATTTCTGGAAAGTGATGGCAAGATGTTCAGATTGGTGACCCACCATTATGAGTGAGGTACGGCAGGGCAATCTTTTTAATTCTGTTGTGACTTGTATCCCACCTGCCACTTCCATGCCTATAATGTTCACTGAGAAGGCTAAACAATTTGGGAGAGGAGGTTATGCTCATTTAAAGGATTGCCCCTGGTCCCTGCTTCCTTCCAATTTTTTCTCATTCCTCCACAACAGCTGTATGTCAGAATGTCCCCAAGATCACACAATACACTAACATTTCAAGAGGCTGCATTTCAATAGCTTCTCTGGAACCAGTTTGCCATCGCTGCCATAGCAATTGAGGTGGATGATTTCTAAGCAGAATTTGTTCAAGCCAAATGATCCTTCAAATAAGGGTCCAGACTCGGTGAAATCTTTTCCCTTTTCCTTTCTAGCAATGCTTGCCATGGCAGCATCCTTCAGAGTATCGATTAGATATCAAAATGCAGCTTTTGAACAGATGCAAACACATTGTTGGCTGGATTGACAGGAAGCATTTGCTTCACAACAGATCAAGCCCAAAGTACCTTTTCATTTTGTATTGGCTTCCGTGCCACCACAACAGTGTGTGTAAAAGAGACCTGTAGTTGAACGAGACTTGTAGAATATTTATTTATTGGACTTATATACCGCCCCATAGCGCTACAAGCACCCTCCGGGCGGTTTACAATTTAATTATACAGGCTACACATTGCCCCCCCAGCAAGCTGGGTACTCATTTTACCGACCTCGGAAGGATGGAAGGCTGAGTCAACCTTGAGCCAGCTTCCTGGGATTTGAACCCCAGGTCGTGAGCACAGTTTTAGCTGCACTGCAGCGTTTTAACCACTGCGCCACGAGGCTCATATTTTTACACATGGTACTGACTGGCTTAAAAACTGGCGGTGGCCCACCAGCACTATTATTTTATTAAGTGTGTTTTTCAGCTTCACTGTGAGCTTTCTTTCAAGGATGAGACTTCATTAAGTTATTACATCTTTCCCCAGAATGGAAGTGAAAGTCAACTGCAGGTACGGACTTTAAACAAAACTGTATACCAAGATCCATCACAACCTCTGAACTGCATTGTATTTTTCATGTTCCCTAGCTCACAAAATAATTACATACCATCAAGTCGATTCTGATTT